GGCGGGACATCCTGGTAGGGAGGGTAGAGAGAGGAAGCAAGAGGGAGGAGCAGAAAATCTACAGAAGATGTCTTAGAACAACTAGGAGAGATGGAAGGGACCTAGGATATGACTAAAAGCAAGTATAATGGGTGAAATGAATGGCAGGAAACTCTGTGGACATGGACGTTTAGGATAGAGTAACTATTGCCCAGCATTGTGTTCTAGGTGAATTAAATAAATCCTAGTCTCTGTGTGGTGATTTGGTTATACAGCTGTTTATAAATAAACACTGCTTAACTAGAAGATATATTAATAGTAAATATTAATACCCACAACAGACTCTCTTACATATTTTTCAATCACTATTCCCTGGAGGGTCTACCTTGGCAAGTTACCATGGTAGAGGATGTGCTCAGTCCTGACACTGCATGATGGACTGGGATGGGTAGGTGGGAGGAGAGGGAGGATATAAGGAAGAAGGAAGGAGGGTGGTATCAAGAGGAGAGGAAGGAGGGGGCTACAATTGGGATGTGAAGTGAATAAATAAATGAACAAAAAAAAGAAAGAAGAAAGAAAGAAAGAAAGAAAGAAAGAATATATCCATTCAGAAAGAAGACAGAATACCAAATAGCAATAGAAAACTCCACACAGTAAATATGCAGAATAATAATTTAAAAAAAAAAGATATTGAGAGCTACCAGAGTAAAGCCACAAATCACAAATAAGGGCAGTTCATCAGAAAAACTGGTTACTTTTTTTTTTAAATCACAGGTATCCTGAAAGCAGAAAGACATGTGTGGTATTTAATCACTTATAAGTGGATATTAGCCATATTATATAGAATAAACACACTAAAATCTACAGAAGAAGGTAAATGGCAAGTAGAATCCTAGGGAAGATGCTCAATTCTCACTCAGAAGGGAAAATAGAATAGCCACCGGAAGTGGTAGAACAGAGGAAACAGGACTGGGGCCTAACACAGATGTCCTCTGACAGGTAAATTCTTAATGGAAGCTTTAAGAAACAGACAAGACAGAAGGACTTAAGCAATGTGCTCTCAATTCTAAGAGACCACAGAGGCCAACTCAAACTACCTTACCCTGCAAATTTGACACAGTTGAAGAATGGTGGTGGCATTTGGAAGTTTATCCCATAAAAGCCATTGAATGGTTAGAACTTAATATGCTGTTCAGTGTATTCTATAACTAAGGAAGAAATCCAGAGGCAATAACAGATGTTATTCATTGTAATTCTCCTAGGGTTTTTTGTTTGTTTGTTTGTTTTTCTGTGTGAAACAATGAAAGAAAAGATGATAGAATAGTGTGAATATTGTGTCTAGGGAAAAACAACACATTACCCTAATATTATGTTTGTTAATTCTGTTACCATAAATATAAGAACTTAAAAAGCATTTTGGTTCATTTAGGAACCATGCTGCTGATGCTGAGGAAGAGTTTATTGGCCCTGACAGGTGAAGCACCTACCTCTGGCCATCGATTCGGAGCAGCAGTGATATATTCAAGGCTGTGAGGTGCCCATGAAGCCTCCCTGGAAATTTTAGAGTATATGCTCCTTCTGTCTTATTCATGACCAATTATATTGAAGGCATATATCTGCTAAGTTATTTTTCTCTTCTTGGTTTTGAATAGGCAAAAGCCATTTCAATAAGGAAGAAACAGAAGTAGAAGAGCATAAGGAAGATAGAGACATGACAGAGAATGAGGATACAGGTCCTCATCATGTCTGTCAGGGGGCATGTAGGTAGACATGACGCAGGAAGGGTGAACTGTTTTGGCCTAAGGCTTCTTTTCCTGTTGACTAGCTCTTTTCTGCTGATTGTGTCTGTCTCTCAGTGCTCAGAGCATGCTTGACCCAAGGTCTAGAATCATTGGTCACTGGGACACATCTGTACATCTTTCCAAGCTAGGGTTCACTGTAGTTGCCTGGTGCAAGGTCGCTTGGATGCATGCATGTATTCTGAGCATTTTGTCCCCACAGATCACATGTCTTGCCAAAGCAGGTCATAGTGGTATATGTTAGAGTTTGAAAAAATGGAACTATACGTTTGGAAGGTAGTAAAATAATATCTGTGGGTCTAAGCCTATTCAAATCACATTTACTAGAATAAACATATGAAAACTCTTTAGAGAATGAACAAAATCCCAAATCAATGTATGCTGTGAAAAATGGGCATGGCCATGTCAAGAACCTCAATGCCTCAGATCCATGGAAATGACAAAGCTATCCTCTGTGCAGAAGAGAGGGTTGGCCATTATCTAAAACCAGTGCATGTGGGAACTATCAATCATAACTCTTGCCTCCCTCATGTTTATACCCTGAGAGTGCTTCGGTGCTTAGATGTTCCACCCAAACCAGATAATCTCTCCCCCTTGTGCTGTATCCAATGAATGTGCTCAGTTTCTAGCTTACATAGATGGTTCTCTCCATCTGAGTTACCTGATTACAGCTCTCTGGACAAGTGTTTGTCATTTCTTCAGTTTCTGTCATTTCTTTATTCCCAGGTCATGCAAATCAGGTTTTAAAGACTCAGCTATGCTGGATGCTACAAGACAGACCATTAGATTTGCAATGGTTACTTGTTATGAAACAAAGAAAAAAAATTATTGGCCTACCAAACAAAAAAAGACAAGAAAGGATCACTGTTTATTTTTGTAACACGGTAAAGATCGGAAAGACTTTTTTTGACAAAATAGAAAAACTACCCAGAATTTCCAAAGGTAAAACTACCATTTTACATTGTTCCTTTCATATGAGTGAATATCAAGGTTCAAAAGTCTGGGGAACTGACTAGCTCAAGATGGATTCCATGGAGAAAAGTCACAGAAAACTAGAGTTCCTTAAAAAGACAACGCATTTAAAATGGTCTTACAATTCTCAACTCCACATGGAAAAAAAAAACAATAATTAAAACAATCCTGTAAAATAAAAGATCTTCTGGAGGTATCTCTATCCCTGATCTCAAGCTGTACTGTAGAGCAACAGTAATAAAAACTGCATGGTACTGGCATTTAAACAGACTGGTGGATCAATGGAATCTAATCAAAGACCAAGAAACAAGCTCACACACCTACAGACACCTGATTTTTTACCAAAAAAAAAGAAAAAAAAAAAAAAAAAGCATACAATGGAAGAAAGGTAGCACCTTCAAAAATGGAGCTGGACATATACCTGAAGGATGTTGTACTATACAACAAGGACATTTGCTCAGCCAGCAAAATGTCAGATATAATCTGATCCAAGGCCTATAGGATAGCTGTCTAATTTCCTTTGACAAGGTCAACAGGCACCCCAGGCTCAACCTTCCAGCAGCAGGCTGAAACCCTTATCTCAGAAAGAGCCTGAAGTCCCAGTGCCTGGAGGCCTAATCCAGTCACCAACACAGCCAATCAAAAGAAGGGCATTATAGAGGGGTGGGGCCAACTGTCCAAATACTTGGGATTTAAAGCCTGAGTGAGATGTTGCTGGAACAGACCCTGGGACCACAGCAGCCACTGAAGAGTTGAGTCTGTGGAGTGGACTGAAGCAGCATAAGTCACCACAGGTAAGGCCATGGAAAGGCAGAATGGGAAGTAACTCTGGAGGGGAGACTTGAGAAACTCCATGGAGAATCAGGCAGATCCCCAAGAAGGAGAAAATATTCTAATGATCAGCAGCTCTTCTGTCTGAGGTGGAGGGGAGAGAGTGGAAAAGGCATTGAAGAATCCAAGCCTATGTTCCCCAGGTGTAGGTTTCTATAGGTACCCAGTAAGAGCAAGTATGGATCTGTCCACAGAGAATAACAAAAGGTACCATGCACACCAGTAACCATCATTGTCTCCTCCTGGGCAATAGAGAAGATTTCTTGCATATCATCCCTGGGTAAATCTAGTTAGTTTGACTGATGCAGATGTAGAAGGAGGAATTTCCCTATCCAGGTCCTAGGGGGACTGTTGTTTTGGAGGCCCAGAAAGTCCTGAACCTAAAATTCCATTAGAGGCTTGCTATTGTACTCCATCCCCACGTGTGAGCCCTAGCTTCCTATGGCTTTACCATGTGACACCATTTCTCACTGAGGTAGTACATGGAGAGTTTAGTTGTATGGTCCCAATTGTAGTACAGGAAGAATAGTACCTGTAGTTTTCTTAACATCCTTTATAGGAGACATTTCATAAAGTTTTCATTCAAGAAGCCATGGCAGCTCAGGGTCCAAGTGAGTTCCCCAGTTATGGAAACAGAGACTGTCTCAGACATAAACTGATTGGTCTGCTCTTTGATCACCTCTCCTTCAGAGGGGTGCAGCCTTATCAGGCCACAGAGGAAGACAATGCAGCCACTCCTGATGAGGTCTGATAGACTAGGATCAAATGGAAGGGGAGGAGGACCTCCCTTATCAGTGGACTAGGGGAGGGGCATGGATGGAGAAGAGGGAGGGAAGGTGGAATTAGAAGGTGAAGAGAGAGGGAGCTACAGGTGGGATACAAAGTGAATAAACTGTAATTAATAAAAAAAAACTCAGAAAAAAATTTAAAAAAGAAGGGAGGGTTCAAGACAAGCCTACTTCCTGATATATATTAGAAAAAAAAATATGATGCCATGTGCCCTCCACAATTGGTCTCACATTAAAAATTTGGATCTGATACCACAAAATAGAAGTTTCACTTGGTAGAAATCATGAGTCATTGAATCCTAAGTCCATGGCTGCTTTTTCCTTCTGGTCTTCTGTATTTATTTAGTGAGATCTTTCTCAAATAATAAGATACCATACACCTGAATTCATTGCTAGAATTATGGGCATGTGCTCCTCACTTTGCATTGGATATAATAACTACCAGTGGTTAATTTATTTCAAACATATCCCTAACCTTTTTCTACAAGCTCTCAAAAAATATTTGGAAGAAAGTTCAAAGAATTTTATTGAGCATGGGTGGTTTAATTACTTGGAAAAGAGAAAGGAGACATTTTAGAAATACTGGTGTAGTCATTTCTTCATCTCTCTGTCTTCTGCAGGTTCTTGAGACATGACTCCTGCTGTCTTTGTGGTGATTCTGTGCTTTGGACTGGCCTTAGGTGCTTCAGTACATGATCCTAATTTGGATTCTCAATGGGAAGAATGGAAGGAGAAATATAAAAAAAAATACAGCCCGGTTGGTAAACGGGAAACTATCCAGATGAAACCCAGAATGAATTGCTATTGGTATTGCAAGGGCCTTGGCACATTAGAGGTCATAGAATGCCACCCTTAATTGAGAGATTATCTACTCACAGTCACTATGAGCACATGATGGCACAATTTCCCTTTTCCTCAGTATATACAGAATGTGTGGCTTAGCACCCTTTCATTGGCCTCCTCTCAACTGTAGCAGCAAGTCCATATGCTCAGCTTCTTCCAGAGTTTAGTAAGAAAGAGATGTCAGATCTTGAGGAAGCGCTATTCCTAGTTGTCTGAGAAAGCGCCAGATTGCTTTCCAGAGTGGTTGTACAAGTTTACATTCCCACCAGCAATGGAGGAGGGTCCCCCTTTCTCCACAACCTCTCCAGCATGTGTTGTCTCTTGAGTTTTTTATCTTAACCATTCTGATGGGTGTAAGGTGAAATCTTAGGGTCATTTTGATTTGCATTTCCCTGATGGCTAATGAGGTTGAGCATTTCTTTAAATGTTTCTCTGCCATTCGATATTCCTCTGCAGAGAATTCTCTGTTTAGCTCTGTACCCCATTTTTTAATTGGATTACTTGATTTTTTGTTGTTTAACTTCTTTTGTTCTTTATATGTACTGGATATTAGCCCTCTGTCAGATATAGGGTTGGTGAAGATCCTTTCCCACTGCAGAGGGTGGAGGAAGGGAGGGATTGGGACGGGAGAAGGGAGAGAACCACAGGGGGGATACAAAGTGAATAAAGTGTAATTAATAAAGAAAGAAAGAAAATAAAATAGTTATAGAAATCAAAACCTTATTAGTAAATACTTAAAAACAAATTCATTTTAAACAAAAAAAAAAAAAGAAAGAAAGAGATGTCACCAGTTATGCTCACTTCCAGGAGGTAGAAGCAGTGAGGAGAGCAATATGGGAAGAAAATATGAGAATTGTCAAACTGCACAATGGGGAGAATGGTCTGGGAAAGGATGGCTTCACCATGGAACTGAACTCCTTTGGTGACCTGGTGAGTGTGATATGAATTGTTTCACATTGTGTTCTCTTCATTTCTTCACATGGAGCCGTGTGTGTGTGTGTGTGTGTGTGTGTGTGTGTTAATTTTGTTTTGATTAATGCTATTTTCCTTGAAGACTGGTGAAGAATTCAGAAACCCAATGGCTAATATTCCAGTTCCAGCTGCCCTGACAGTGACAAAAAAAGACAAAAAAATAGTTGATGGTCTACCCAAATTTAAGAACTGGATAAAGGAAGGCTATGTGACTCCTGTAAGAAACCAGGTAAGACAATGGCATGTGCCTCTTTTTTTTTTTTAATAACCCTGAAGGTAAAATACTTGATGTGTCTGTATGTATGCTGAGTGTGCAAAGATGTGCAGTTCTATTTTTCTCCTATGAAAGCTTCATACATTTATACAATGGACATTTATCTTAGAAATCCAACAAGCACACATCTTTTTAACCATTGTCCTGTACCACATCTGTCTCCAGAATTTCTTTCTTCTTTCTTTTTTTCATTAATAACACATAAAACCAGTAAGTCCTGCTCAAATATTTGGGGTAGTTCCGTCACTAAGCGAGGCAAGAGCAAGCTGTCAGCAGTCATGTCCTCTAGGAGAGTACCCTTCTTTCCTAGGCATCTGTCAACTTTCAGTGCACCATTTTCTAAATTATTAGGCTGTCTATGTTGTTGCTGGGGTTGGTATTTGCTTGTGTATGACAATGTTTTCTTCCCTGAGCAGGGTACATGCGGCTCTTGTTGGGCTTTTGCTGCAGCTGGTGCCATAGAAGGACAGATGTTCTGGAAAACTGGCAAACTCACCCCTCTGAGTGTGCAGAACCTAGTGGACTGTTCTGAAAAGCAAGGAAATAAAGGTTGTGATTATGGCACTGCATACAGTGCCTTCATGTATGTTAATGAAACTAAAGGTCTCCAGGATGAGATTTCCTATCCATATGAAGGAAAAGTAAGTGGACCTCCAATATTGTCATGATATCTCACCCTTTAACAAAGATACACTTGCAAAAGTAATCCATTGTCTTCTGAACTCCCATTGGAAGGTAGATTCTCTATACATTATAATTGCTCTCATTACAATATCTGCCACATCTTAAACAGCTCCTGGCATGGTGGTTTCCATGTAGCTGTCCCTGATTTCATGCACATGGAAAATATACATATCTTTCTACATTTAATAAAGATTTCCCTCTGTGAAAATTTCTTATGGACAAGAAAACCTATGAGGTGTCTTTGAAGACATGAGAGCTGATTCAATGTTCCAAATCTTCCAGTTTATTTCACTTCCTGGGATGATTTATAACCATCCCTACTTGGCATGTTCAGCAGCAAAGTGCACAGTGTTGTGGTTGTGGTTCTCATTCATCCTTCCTGGAAAGTAGATGTAAGTAACTGAGTCTCTTATCTCTTTACTGTTTACAGCAAGGAACCTGCAGGTACAATAGTTCGAATTCTAAAGCGTATGTCACAGACTTTACGCTCCTCCTACAGAATGAAATTTACTTACTGGTTGCTGTAGCATCAATAGGGCCTGTTGCTGCAGCAGTTGATGCTTCCCACGACTCTTTCAGGTTCTACCGTGGAGGTAAGCATATTCTCTTTTATATATGAGAAAAGGAACTCGTGACATCCCATCCCATGCCATGCCATGCCATGCTATGCCATGTTCATGAAATGCTATTTATCTATAAGATTGTATGTGAGATTGGGTTTCTGGATTTTCATCCCCACCCAACGATACTGAGTCCTTCTTTCAAGTGATATGACCCTCTTATGAAAGTATGTACATCATATTTTATAAAATGTATGTTTAGCTTATTTTTAAACTATCCTTAATTTTTGGATGTTTTAGATTTTTTATGTGGACTGTATATCCAAAATCAAATTATGAAATGATCCTCTTGAATTAATAAATTCAGTGAGTTTTACTTGGGATGAGAGTCTAGTGAAAAATCAAAAATTCCAATTAGTCATCTTATATGCATCTAGGCAAGTGTTTATCAACAAATCTATGCACATTTTGGTTTCTTCAGGTTTTTGTGACTACCAATATACACACACATACACATGTATATATATACCAATATAAACACACATACACATGTATATATATATATATACACATATATATGTATATATATATATACTTATATGTGTGTATGTGTGTGTATATTGGTATTATCATTCAACTCTTAATCTGGTTGTAGTTTACATCATTTCAGGGAGCTTTGAAAATGCCTCCCAAGGGGGCTGGAGAAATGGCTCAGTGGTTAAGAGCACTGTCTGCTCTTCCAGAGGTCCTGAGTTCAACTCCCAGCAACAACATGGTGGCTCACAACCAATAATAATGTGATCTGATGACCTCTTCTGGCATGTGGGGGTACATGCAGATAGAACAGTATATACATAAAATAAAAAAATAAAAATCTTAAAAAAAAAGAAAGAAAGAAAATGCCTCCCATCATTGGGAGCAGTACTCACTCTCAGGTATTACGGGCATCTCACATCAGATTCTCTTTTATTTCTCAGGTATTTATTATGAGCCAAAATGCAGTCAGTATTCTGTGAATCATGCAGTTTTGGTAGTTGGCTATGGATATGAAGGAAATGAGACAGATGGCAAAGATTACTGGCTGATCAAGAACAGGTATAAACTGCCAAAATTTTTATATTTGATATTCCAGGGACTGGAAAGATGATTCAGTATTTAAGAGTACTAGGTGGTCTTCCAGAGGATCCACAAAGAGATTATTTCTTATAGTCAATGTTTGAGTATACAGACTAGAAAACTTTGTCCCATTTACATTGAACAAAGTCTGTTCTTGTTTTTCTCTGTACATGTATGAGGTGTGTGTACATGCATATATGTCTATGGACAACTATGTGCATGATTACATATGTATAGAGTTTGATGTTAACATCAGATGTCTCTCAATCATTATCCAAGTTCTCTATTGAGGCAGTGCTTCTCACTGATCTAGGAGTTCACAGTCTAGACTGGCTAGCTATCTTCCACCAGGTCTGTCTGTTTCCATGTCTAGAAAACTTGTGCTATAGGGAACTGCAGTGGTAATCTGGCTTTCGAAAAGCTCTTTACATTGATCTCTAGTCCTTAACCTCTAAGCTCCCCTACAGCTTACAAAACATACTCACAATGTGTTATCATAACAACCTCCCCATTCCGTCACTGGTTTCTTGGTGTCAGTGTTACTTTGTGCCATTGCTTTTCTAAAATCTTACACATTTGTTAGGACTGAACTACTCTTTCTCCACTGTGGTCTTCACAATCCTGTGTGATGTGCCTCTTGATACTCAGGAGTAGAACCTCATATTTTTCTGCTTCTTTTGTTAAGTTGGCCTCTTGCCAGTTATAGCAATAAAGCCACCATGCATTGATCTTTCTACTAAGTGAAATATATGTTTCCTTCCAGCTGGGGTGAAAATTGGGGCATGAGAGGCTACATGAAGATTGCCAAAGATCGTAGCAACCATTGTGGAATTGCTTCGCAAGCTTCCTTTGTTGATATATTCTGAGCTGCCTGGTAGCCACAAGGGAGGACAGCATGTTGAAGACAGCATTTAGTGGAGTGCATTCCAATTCACAGTGACCAGCCATTGCTGAGTGTATTCAACAGTTCAGTTGATGAAGTTCCACATTGTGATGTAGATTCTGAAACCTGCTTGCTCTATTTCAACATTGCAATTACTGTAATTAATGCTCTGTATGGATGTGTCTTCATGATTGCTACAGCAAATTGAGTTTCACTTTTAATTATTGTGTGGATTGTGTCTTTTAGAAAGGTTAAATTCAAATATAATTTCTAGCTTCTTTCTGTTTTCTGAAGTGATTTTTTTTTTTGGTTTAAACATGTAATTTATCTTGAAGACAGTACTGAGTATAGTAGGCTTCTAGGAGAAAGAGTGACTCTTCTTTGATGGCCTTTATTCCATTTTATATAATATACATGTTATTTATATTATACTGTGCTCTAACTTAAGGGGTTATGTATACCAGCAACATTGGTATGAAACACTTTATAAACATTTCTGGATTTGACCTTTTTTAACCAACATTAATTTACCAATTTTCTTTTTGTAATATTTATTCACTCCTCCCTTCCCTCCTCACCTCCCAGCCCCACCCTTCCTCTATCCATCTTCCATACTCTTCTCCCTTTTCCTTAGAAAAGGGGAACTCCATTTCCCATCCACCCCAACTCATCAAGTTGCATCAGAACTGAGCCTGTCTTCTTCCTCTCGGGCCTGGCAAGACAGTCACTAGTGGGAAGTGATAAAAAAGCTGGCAAATGATTCTATGTCCAGTGCAGTCCCCACTTTCCTTACTAGAGGACTCACATGAAGCCTAAGCTTTCTATCTGCTACATCTTTATAGTGGATTAGGTCCAGTTCATGCATGATCTTTGGTTGGTGCTTCAGTCTCAGCAAGCCCTTCTCAGCCTTGGTTAGTTGGCTCTATTGGTCTTCTTGTGAAGTTCTATCACCTCCAGGTCATTTTCACTATCCTGTCACTTTTCCACAAGACTCCTTGCATATTGCCCAATGTTTAGCTGTGAGTCTCAGCATCTGTTTTCAATTCTCTGCTAAGTGTGGCAGCACTGTGTGCTGTTCTACTGGATTGTACTGAGCTATGACTCACCCCTGTCCAGCACCTCAACTATGTACTATCATCCATGTTTCTGTGTGAAAGACACCAAGGTGACCATTTCTGCAGTTACAGGATTGTAGTTCAGATTGCGCTTCCACAATCTTCAGTGCCTCAACATACATGAATGGCAGGAGAGGCATTTCATTACAGTCCTTTGTAGGTACTGTCCTAGCCTATTATTGGTTAATGTTGTTAAGCCTCGAGCTTATTATTTGATGCACTGAACTTTTAGGCATGTATGTATGAAAAAATAATGTGTATGAATGTATGTGTATATGTGTGCATGTATGTATGTATGTATAATGTATGCATTTATCTATGAATATATGCATGTATATATTATGAATGTACATATTCGCATATATTCATATACAACTTTACATACATGAGCTCAAACATCAAGTGCTCTTCTTAACCTGTATCTCCAGTGAATACTGAAACACTGGGCTATGTGGATTTGACTCTAGCTTCTCATAGCCTGTGTCTTTCATGGTTCTTTATTAGAATTAAACTTGATTAAAGGTGGGCAAAAAAAATCAACAAACTCAGAAAAGTGGGACTTAACAATACACACTGAAGAAATCCAAAGAATTAGACCCTAATTCATAAGCCTATATGCAACACAATTTGAAGATGTAAATGAAATGGACAATTTTCCTGATAGATTCTATTTACCAAAGTTGAAGCAAGATCAGGAAGATAAATTAAATAGTCCTATATCTTCTAAGGAAATAGAAGCTGTCATTCCATCAAAGAAAAAAAAAGAGGGAGGGAGGGGAGGATTGGGAGGAAAAGAGGGAGAGGGCTACAGCTGGGATACAAGTGAATGTATAAAATTATTTAAAAATTAAAAAAAAGTAATAAAAAAAACAAACAAAAAAGAAAGAAAAAAAAATCCCAGGACCAGACAGTTGCAGCAGAGAATTCTACCAGACCTTCTAAGAAGAGTTAATACAAATATACTTCAAACTATTCAACAAAATAGAAACAGAAGGAACATAACCAATCTCATTCTATGAGGCCACAGTCACCTTTACACTTAAACAGCACAAAGATCCAACAACAACAAAAAAGAGAATTTCAGAGTGAGGAAACTTAAAAGCACAAAGATACATATGGTATATGTTCACTTATAAGTGGGTGTTAGCCATATAATATAGCATAAACATTCTAAATCTATAGTTCTAAAGGGCTAAATAACAAAAAGGACCCTAGGGAAGAACCTTCTGAAACCTCATTCAGAAGGGCAAACAGGAGAGACATCAAAAATAGAAGAAGAGAGGGAACAGGACAGGAGCCTTCCACCAGGGAACTCTGAGAGACTCTACCCATCAGGATATAGAAGATGCTGAGACTCATAGCCAAACTTTGGGCAGAGTACAGAAAACCTTATGGAAGAAGGGGAAGATAGAAAGACCTGGAGGGGACAGGAGCTCCACAAGGAGACCAACAGAACCAAAATACCTGGGCCAGGGGGGAGGGGGGCTGCAGAGACTGATACTCCAACCAAGGACCATGCATGGAGAACACCTAGACCCCTGCTTAGATGATGCCAATAGGTTGCTCAGTCACCAAGTGCATTCCCTAGTAAGGGGTACATGGCCTGTCTCTGACATGAACTCAGTGCTGGCTCTTTGATCACCTCTCTCTAGAAGAGACAGCCTTGCCAGAGCACAGAGAAAGATGATACATTAGGCCTTGATGAGACCTGGTAAGCGAGGGTCAGATAGAAGAGGAAAAGGACCTCCCTTATCAGTAGACTAAGGGAGAAGCATAAGGGGAAAAGTGGGATGGAGAGTGGGACTGGAAGGAGATGAGGGGTGGGGCTACAGTCATTATACAATTTGAATAAATTGTAATAAATAACAAATAAATAAATTGAAAGGTGGGCAAAGATGGTTTCTAAATTGCTTTGCTTTTGAATTTCATTTAAATTTTTTATTTAACTGAGACACAATATTTGTCCTTTATGGAACTCAACTTTAATTAAGTTTACAAGTGGAATATGCATTGAAACAATCAATGGAACTGCTGGAATATACTAAATATACTAAAATACTAAAATTTGTTAAAATATACTAAATATACTAAAATACTAGAATTGAAATATACTAAATATACTAGAATTCCTATGAGACTTCCTGTAGATATCTGGAAGTTTCTATTTGTGGTAGACTGTAGCAACACAAAAGGCCAGAATATTCTCCCTCAATTGGATTTATCAAACATTATCCACCTCATCTTTATTTTCTCTTCTACTTCCAAATTTTCAGTGAATACTCTTCTGCTCCTGATTTATTATCTGCTTCTATATGTCTGCTCTTTTTGTCTTCACTCTTTGAGAAAAGTGAATCTTCATAGTAGCTGAGATGGCATGCATAAAATTTGCAGAAGATCAAGCCAGCAAATGTCCCAGCATAAATGGGAGAGACTCAAATGAAGTTCTACCACCATGTGAGGAGCTATTGAACACTGAAGGTTGATAGGGCATGGAGGATCACATTTGTTCAGCAAAGTGATCCATGAGAAGCTGCCTATATTCCACATGCAATAAGGGAACTCAGTGGGTAGTAGAAAATTAAAAAAAAAAATAAGGATAACAGATGCAGTTTGGAGAAAAAGGAACTAGGGAGGTTAAGGGAGAATTAGAGTAGAAGGGGGAGTGAGTAAGTTTGATCAAAGCACATTACATGCATGAATACTATTAAATAAAATAGTTTTTTGAAATATAAAAAAAAACCAATGAGACCAAAGTCTATTTTCTTAAAAAAAATTGTAAATTTTTAGCCAAATTAAAGAGAATGCGGGAAGACCTAAATTAATAAAATTGGAAACAAAAAGAAGACATTACAGCAGATATCAACTAAATTCAGAACAATCTTGAGGATATGTTTAACAATGAAATATATGAAATTAGTAAATACATATATAAATATCAATATGTATACAAAACATTAGGAATGTATAAATGATTAAACAGAGTCAGCCATGAGTTTGAAGCAGTAATAAATGTCTAACAACAGTAAAGCTACCCCACCACACGAAAACACCCAGGACCAGACGGACTCACTGTAGACGTCCACAAAAACTTTAAAGAACGTTAATATTACTCAAGTAATTATTAAAAAACAAACATTTTTACTGTGTCTTCTTTAAAATATAATCAAAATATAATTACTTCATTTACCCTCATCTCTTTACTACCATGTCATATACCCACTCCCTCCCTCTTAAATTCAAGACCCTCATTCCTTAATCAGAAATCCAATTATGAAGCCAATATTATCCTGGTACCAAACTAGATCCATACTCAATAAAAACGACAGCATCAGCACCAAAATTTAGAGATCAAGCTTCTTAGCCACAAAAAATTTTAAAAGTTATCAACTGTCAAATGTAATTCAAGGACATATCACAAAGATTGCCACACCCACTCCAGCGTCTGGTGTAGCATATCAATAGATAGCACTACTCAGACTAAGAGATATGTGTCCTTCGGGATTATGCTCTCTGGAGGTCCCTGGCAGACCCCTGGCAAAGAGACGCGTTCTGAGATTTCTATGCTTTTTTGGTTGCGGTTGTGGGGCTGGATTAATGAGTTTTTTGATCTTTCTTTATGATTCCTGAAACAGCACAACTAACTCTACAAAGAAATTTATCATTAGTAAATTATTAAAGGCTTTAATAAGAATAAAATGTAAAAAGAGTAAGCCTAAGAAAAGTAATAAATCAGATTTAGTATCAATAGGCATTATAAGAATAGTAAAAAAATAATAGGCTCCTTCTTAGGAAAAAATAGCATGAAAAGTACAGCTGGCTCGAGCTTGCCCCCCTTATTGTCTTGTTCCTAGGGAACATCATAAATCTT